GGTAACATATAAATTAGCTGTATAAGAATAGTCCTAAACAAAGCTTGGAATCTATTAAAAAAATAAATATGTCGTGGTGTCTAATGTGAGAATATGTTATGCAAATTCATGCATTTTTAATAAATAAGTATCTGTAAGTATTTTTTCAGGTAGTAACCATGCTTTAAAAGTATATAAATTAAGAAAGGTATATGTGTAATCAAACTTGTAATAGCTGAAAGGAATTACTGCTGAAAATTACCTGAAAGAAATAGAAATCAAAGCTGTGCTTGTATCTATAGCTCAGTGTTTCCTTCAGATTTCAGAATACTACTGAGATCATATTATCATGTTTGTGAATAATATATCTGTATGTGGGACCCTATATAGTAATTAAATGTGAGCACACCATGGAATTAAGTGAATTGCACTGGTCGAGGTACGTTCCTGATGACTCTGAAGATTCACAGCTTAACCAGTAGTGGAACAGCAGTTTTATCACAGAAGAAGGAAGAGCAGCAAACTGATTAAGTTACTGCAGCCAAGAAGCATTAAGGCCTTGTAAATTTTAGCATAAGAAATGCACTGATAATTTGTTCAGATATTTTGTCTTTGCAGCTAGCAGTTTTTAAAACATTTTAAAGCAAAAGTGACAGTTTAATTAAAAAAACTCTTAGCAGCTATAGAGGCTATCCAGTATTATTTCCATTGTTGATTTTTTTTTGGTTTTGGTTTTTTTTTTTTTGGTTTGGAACTGCTCAGAGATGTTTGTTGCAGGACCATTACCCTCTAAAAATTCTCTATTGGATTTACTTTGAGAATTCCCTGACAATGCATTTAGTTTTGAAAATGAAACCAAAATTGTCATTTCAGCTCTGATCTCTTGAGATATGTTTAGTGTATTTCTTGAAGGAGTACTGCCATCAGTTATGAACGGTTTTTCTTGTTACCTTTAATATATTGCAAAATAACGTGTCAAATTTCATAGTGTTTCTGGATTTTAATAACTTTATTTTTTGCTGTGCTAATGCATGCTCTGTAAATATCTCTGTCATATCTTGACTTGCTGTTCCATTTCTGTGATTGCCTGTGCTCTGCAGCACCAGGAGACAAGGCTAGTCCTGGCAGTCATAAAAAAAAAAACAACTTGGTTCTCCCTTCTGGGAAAACTGCCAGATTTATGCTACTTCAAAAGCTGAAATATATTCTAAGAACTTTGATTAACAGTCTTAAAACATTAGGCTAATTCTTCCTTCTTTTTCAGTGCATGAGAAACCAAAAAGGTCAAATGTGACTTGAAATGCATGTCCATTAAAGTGGATGTGGAATGCCTGGGTACTTGAAGAAAGTCATAATGTCCAGCCTTTCACTGTTAACTATGAAATTTTTATAACGGTGTTTGCATTAATAATGCACAGGCATTGTAGCATGTGTACTCCTAACAGTATTTCAGAAGTTGGTATGTATAGTTGTATTCTTGCATCAGATTTCCTAATTTGACAAAAGATATTTTTCAACTAATGAGGAAGATACCATGCTTTTCATGTGTGGGTATGTTTCTATAGCAGAAAAGCTTTCTTGTTCAACCATTTAATACAGTTCTAAGGACATACTTGGTTGTTGGTAGGAAATAGAACTAGTGAGTTATGGCTCTCCAAAATAGCTTTATTCAGATAGTGTTCAGATGGTCTTAAAATATCCAACGTATGCTGCTGGTTTTCCATTGAGTGCTATTGCCTTGTGCACCTCAGGAGGGGCTGTGTTCTGTGATCTGTAAAACCACTTTCTGTATTAAGGTTGGGTGTATGTAGAAGACTATTATCAGAATGGAAAGTGAGATTTGGTTAAACTGTAAGGGAAAAAAATTTCTTCAGTGTATGATGAAATATTACCTGGAGTTCAAAAGGTGTATGGCAGCTCTAAGTGTTTGGCACAGCCGTTTGTTTGTGTAGTTGACATCTACAGCTCTTTCATTTGGACAGAATACTGTCTTAATTGTTACTGTGTTTCTGTGATTTTGTTAAATATAGTCACAATATTTAATTTCCCCATATAATTTGTTTTCATACGAGTCTTTTGGTGAGAAGTGGTAGCTTTTCAGAGGAGCTCTTGTGAGTCTGCTCTATGATGGTGCTTCTTGCTTTTAATTTCAGTCATGGTTTTTTATTCAAATTCAAATAATGCCCTTTTTTCTGAATCCTCATTAATGGAAGCTCCAATGAAGACAAAATGGGAAGAACGCTTATTTCTGTCATGAGAGAGGCTCTATTCTCTCTATTTTAGATCTGTGCATGGATACCGCTTTCCACATTGAGTCAGCATCTCTAAGTGTTAAATAACACAACTGAGATCTGGACTTTATTTTACTCTCTTGTTTTCTGCTGTTTCTCATCTTACTTCTTACCTACTATATGCTGTCCTCTCTGACCTTGCAAGTTGTCCGTTACACTCCCTCCCAGTTTTGTTTTCCTTGCTGGGTTGGGTGAATAGCTCTTTTCTTTGTGTATTTGGTCAGTGGTTTCCCATGTTTGTCTCTACCTTCAAGGTCTGACGTGACTTGGAATTATTCATTTACCCTCTCTTTAAGAGTTACTGGATCTCGGGCCATTATTTTTTCCAAAGGATTGCCAGTTTTGAGTTCTTGCGAATCCTTCCAACAAAAATGTTTATTTTCTGCTATTAAAATTCCATTTGGCTGAAATATGTACAATATTGATAAATGTTATATTAATGTGTACAGAATGTATGCTCGTGGAACTCAATGTGAGCAGAAGCAAGTGGCAGTAAGATGCTGTGGGAGGAAGGACAAGCAGATGGTGAAAGAAACCACTTTTTCTGAATTTGTAGTTGCTGCTGAGCCCAGATGACATGAAGAAGTAGTAGTCTTGATTTGGTTTCCAGTAGGATATGTAGCAGAGTGAAAACTGTTTAATTTGCAGTTTCTTTTTAGTAATTTAACCAGCACAATATATGAAATGGTATGTTGGGTCTCTTCTTCACACTGTACCCTTTGTGCTTCATTCCCCCATATGTGGTTTGCCACCTTGTAAATGATATTTATTCTCTCTTTTCCATGGAACTATGTTTCTGAGATGCTCTTAAAATATTACCTAAATAAAACCAGAATTAAAAAACAAATCTTCATTACTTCACTTTCATTAGCATCTAAACTACGCTTTGAGTAAAAAAAACATCAGGAAAGATCAACCACAGATGAACATATGCTGTGTTTATGAACATAGCAGTGTAAGTTTGAAGAGCTTCTAGATAAGTTTCTTCACATGTTTTAAGTCTGAGGCCCAAACTGTACTGGAAGATCATGCCTGAGGAAGAAGCAGTACATCCCTACTACTACCACCCCAGAGCCACCCTGCGCTAGGATTCTGAATGCTCTGCTGGTCACTTCCAAGAGGGAAGTAAACAACTGCTAGATACTGGAATAAGCAATCGCAGAACATCCCTAAAGAGCGCAAGAGTTGTAAATATCTAAAGTCAGTGACTGTAAGGCTGTATGAGTTCACTTTCTGAGCTATTCTTTAAGTAAACCTTAATACTTTAAATTTTGAGTATATATGTGACACTGCAGATTTCAACAAGATTCCAGATTCAATACACTTGTGTCTTGTGCTGCTCCACCTGTCCTTCCTTCCCCGTCATTCCAAAATTTGTGACCCTTGTGTTAGAGATTCAGACAATGAATCCTTTTATCTAGCACTTGCATTCATTATTCATTGTACATTGTCAGTGGATTGCTACTTCAGGCCTGAATTAGAGGTAATTAATCTTAGGAAAGCACTTGTAATTTCACACTTTATGAAGCGCTATTGTCTCAGCACAGCAGTGCTATGGTGGCAAAATACCCTTATTGCTAATTGTTGCTGTGCAATATCATATCTCTTAATATTTACGTGCATTCAAGTCTTTATTTTGCTTGCTTGTCTGTAGGTTTATGTTACAGCAGTCGTGTTTGTGTTTTGCTTTGGAAATACTTCTTGCTATTTTTATTTATTTCAAACAAATAGGTTAAATTGTCATTTAAATGAGGAGGTTAGAAAGACCTTTATCCTTTTCAGTAATGAAAAAGAAAACCTGGAAAAGTGATGTACTTTAGGGCAAGAGCAATTAAGTAGATTCCCAACTTGGCAGGTCACTTCAGATGAGTTAAATTGGTACCTGGTAATTGATCATATACAGTCTACACTTAAAAGCTAAGGCCTGATGTTTTCCATTTGGTGGTTAAATATTTCTTCTTGCTATGCATGTAGCTTTCTAGGAGCTGTGGTTGTGTGTGTGAGCATGTACGCAAGAACTTTACTCGGGAGGTTATTTCATGTTGTGCAATTTTTTTTGTTTAGTTTACACATCTGCTTAGGGAACAGTTCCTGCTCTGTATCTTACAGTACCTTAGAAACTATTTTAAAAATATCGATGTCTCTTGATAGTGCTTAAAACTGGTGTTTCTAGGATGCTGAAAGAGTAAAATTACAGTCTATGCCCACATGAAGGTACTAGAGAAGTAATTCAGTGCAGTTACCAGAGATCCCTTGGTTGCATTGTGCGCAGAGGGGAATATTTTGGAATAAGTATCAATGTATGCTTATCTTTCTACTCTTCCTTTGTATGCTGTTGATTGTAGTAGTAGATGAAGAGCCAAGAGTTAAAAATGAACTTAATGCTAAGTGGAGAAAAAAAAGTTGCTGAGAGTTTTTAAAATGTTCTCTTAAGTCTCTTCTTCTGTATTTGCCTAATTGTTTTCAGGAATTTCACAGTAATTGGTAACTAAAGCATAGTGCTTTCTATGATGAGGTTTTTTGATCACATTCTTCATGAAAACTGGCACATCATAAAAAAAAATTGATGTAACTTTTGCTTATTATTAGCTTTTCCACAGCAAACATAATTCCTTTGTAGAAATGTCAATCTTATCATAGTCCTTGAAAATAGAAATGGGGGAAAAATAATTAAAATTTTAAATAAGTGTACTACACTGTGCAATTTGTGCTGACTAGAGAAACACATCTCCAACATGAATTACCCTGTGATCCTGACCTCTTAAGTGGAGTCAAGAATTAGAATTTATTGTTAGTCTAATTAATGCCCTAGCAGTCTAATCAAAATGCAGCAGTTTTTATTGTTAGCCAATTACAGTGATGCTAACAGTTGCCATCTAATTACTGCTGGTTCCCAATAATCGATGTGTACAAGCTTCTTTGCATCGACCCTGTTCAGGCTCACCCTTGAGCTTCCTGAACTCGACTGAAAGGAGGATGCTGGTGGTGGCTCTATGTGGGATATGCTGGGTGCTTTCAAGCAGTCAGTTGCTACTGCTTTGTATTGGTCCAAAAGTTTACCAATCTTAGTCACATTGGTTTTGTTAGACCTTCATTGTATCTGCTATCATTTCCTTAAGGCAGTGCAGTTGCACAAAGCTGACTCTAAAAATAAGTTAGACACAAGTCATCTGACTGTAATGACTTTGGTACAATTAAGTCTCTCAACTGTAAATCATGTGCTGCTGCAGCTAAATCTGAGCTCAAAAAAGTAAGTTCAGGCCAAGCAAAGTCCAGCCAAAACATGGAAAGTCTTTAGGCCTCCTGTTTCTGAGGCAGTCTGAAGCCTATGGCCTGCCAATAGCAATGACAGTACTATCTTTATAGGGCTACAAATTGTGTGTGTGAGAAATCTGTGTGCAACACACATGATAGAGAGCAGGGAGCATAAGCTGAGCTTTCAGGTTGGCTTGCTGAGTAATAGCAGCTGAAGATGGAATTAGTCTGCTTGCAGAGCTACGAGCGGTTACAGTTGTGATGGAAGTACTGACATCTCTTCATGCTGGCCAATAGTAATTGGCCCTGCAGTACACCACAAGCGAAGGACAGCTTCTCTGGAGCGATCATCTGGTCTGTGGCAGCTCCTGCAAAACAGGCTTTCTGACTGCTGCCAGGTGCTGTGTGTAATTTTGACATGCACTTGAAAGGATGTTCTTAAGCTCTTAAAAGCTTTCATTGCAGCTTCCATTTTTCAGTGTGAGACGTTCCTCAGTGTTGAGTCATCTTCTGGTGATGAAGTGTGGAGGATTTCTCATTGTGTTTACAGTAGCCTCCTTGTGAGCTGACACAGCTTATTACACCGGGGGCCTCTGATCCGAACTACAGCAGTTTGGAAAAATGGAAAGATAATCTATTCAGAAAGAAAATCTCTGCAAGCTGTTCAAATCTAGTATGATAGGGCAGAGGCTCTTCTGAGGCCATGGATTGGGCGGGTTTTGTTTTTCATTGTTTTGTGTCTTTTTTTCCAATCTTACTGTTGTTGGAGGAGGTAAATGTCTGTGAAACTGTAATTCTGGATTTTGTGGAAATGCTATTTATAGTTTTTTGAGGTTAGATCTGGACCAAACTCTAAGGAAAAACCTCAAGAACAATATACAGTAAATCTTCAGATAGTCTCTTTGCGTTTGTGAGGATCAAAAAAAGAGTCAGACTTTGTGTCTTGCTTTATTTTATTCAGGTAATGTTAAAAATATGCCACTTTGCTGTATGAAGTGTAGCAAAAGTATATGGAGTCATGTCTATAAAACTTAAATCTGTCCTTTCATGAGAGCAGCTGCTTGGTCTAGTGTATGCAGGCTGTTTAATAACAAATTAGAAGTGCTGGGACCACCAGCCAGAACACACCAAAAAAAAAAAAGTCTGTCTTTCCTATGATCCTGTATCTTTCACAGTCCTGTATCTAGGGCTTTATTTTTGTTGTTTTGTTATTCCTCTATGACGAGCACCGATTCATGTCATTATTAGATGTATAGCTTACAAAAAATTTCTCACAAAATTTGCTTGTTTAGGTGTGTAGGAAACTGGTAGAGGTAAGTTAGTATTGAAACAGTCATTGACAGATGGAAAGTGCCCTGGTTTTTCACAAAATGAAACTCTTCTGGCTTTGAATCTTGAAATTGTGCTTTGAGTGATTTTTTTAAAATGTTGCAAGTAGATAATTTGTGTACAATTTTCAGTCTAAAATTCTGTCTGCAGCTTTGATTTTATTCTTCAGTGTGTTTGGAGTTCTCTGTCTATGTCAAATCTCTGTATCATTGAGTAATATTCACTCACTATTATCTAGAACTTAACAGAAGTGTGAAGTTCCAAGATGTGCCCCTATGCCTGTCCTGTTTTTCCCCTAGTTTCCCCATGCACACTTTCATTGATTTGTTTTTTTTGTTTGGGTTTTTTTTTTGGAGGGGGAGAGGGGGTATAAAACTTCCAATTTGTTGGTCTCTTGTGAATTATGATCTTGTGCCTTCCCAGTACTTCCTCAGTTAATGTGCTGCCTCTCATATTTAGAACTTTTCTAAGTGTTTCCTAGAAAAATCATTAGTTCTTCATGACTGTACCAAATACTAGGACTTGAGTCTATTGTCAGAATGTTTTTTTTCATGAAAAGTTGAGATCTGTAACAGATGCAGGCTATTTCATCTGCTTCACTAAACTAACTCTTCTGTCTTTTTCATGAGTGGTATTTACCTCTTAATACCTGTACCTGTAATTTCAAATATAATACTAACTCTTTTCTACTACTACTACATCTGAAATGGCTTTATTTCTTAGTGTTAGCATTCCTTTCTCGTGACTTTACCCTGCTGTGTTTCTTTTAAGTCTCCCACAGTCTCCTCCTTGAATGATTACTTCTAGCTCAGTCTGTTTGTTTCCCATCATCCTGGCATTAATACACAAGTATTTGTGAGATGGTTTGTTCCCTTTCTTTCTTGGTCAGTAGTTTTATTTTCTTCGTTCCTCCCTCCTCCTCATTTTCTTCTTACGCTCTACAAGCCTGACATTTCAGTTCTTGACTTGCAGTTGTCTTTTTGTCAAAAAGTGAATCTTGAATCCACCCCAGGCTGTTTTTTGGTGTGCCAGCTCTGAAGACGGAAGATTGAATGTCTGAAGGGAAGTAGTGGTTAGTCAAGAGCACATGTGCCCTGTGAGGGCTCTGCTCCATGGATGAAGTCTCTAGATGACTCCTTTCACTTGATTAAAGGAATGGCAAACTTACTGTGCCTGGTGGCATGGAAAATTAAGATGACGTTTAGCAGATCATACGTGGACTTCCTGATTTGCTTGAAGATGTAGAGAGTGAAAGAAGGTGTGATTCACATGGACAGTTACACAGCCAGTTTGAGATGATGTCTTTGCAGACATTTTGTACTCAATGTGCTGTTAATCCTTATTTTTGTTTCTGGGATTGGTGGCAAGATATGAAATGAGAGTTGTCGCCTGCTGAGCTTTTGATCGTTTTGAGCTGATGGAGTCAGGTACCAGTGATCATCACAGCACATAATAAATTTTTTCCTGGACACTGTGTAGAAAGAAATGATATGCATTGAAAAGATGTAATTGGAAAATGCAATCTCATAACTGTTGTGGCAATTAGTATGTCTCTGTCATTCTTTTGGATAGATCAAAATGTAATAGTAGACCACAGAGAAGTTGATGAATGGTGGGTTTTATTTTTTTTGTTTGTGTGGTGTTTTTTTGTTGTTGTTTTGGGTTTTGGTTTTTTTTAATTCAGAAAGTAATGGCAAATGAGGAGTTCTTGAAGTAACATTCTTGTTATTTCTAACGAGAGAGGTCAGTCACAGTGCACAGAGATGCACATCTGAGAAAGTGAAGTGAGAAGGGAACCCAAAGGTCATGAAAAAAAAAATGAAGTGAAAATAGGAAGACATTAGATCAAATATGGATGTGTAGAACATGGATAAGGACTTCAATGGCCGGAAAAAATTACTCCAAACAAAAATTGAAAGTGCAAACTAATGTGGTTAACTGGAGGAGGCAAATATGAGATAGATACGTTGCAAGGTAATTTGGAGCAGATGGGAGAAGGGAAAAAAATGAAGAGCAGAGATGTCTAACTGTAAAAGGCTGTAAAAGTCAAGATGACAGATGAGGGCTTAGAAAGAAGTGCTCTAGTAAACAAATTACAAAACCTGAATCTCTGCTTAGCTTGCTGAAGGGAAGGAAATGGGAGAGAAGGAATTGGAGGTGACAGTGAAGTTTTGATCCTGAGAGGGAGTAGAAGTGTATGCATTATTTAGAACAGAAAATGAAGGAAGTAGCAAGAGACCAGGAAAAAAGGTGTGCTCAGTACTAGAAAGAGTCAGTTTGTGATAATGGTGTGGCAGGAATGGGAGAGGAAGCTGACACTTGGATTAGAACCAACTTGAAGGAAATGCGCTGAATTACTGCGGTGTGTTTGAGCACATACGCGGAAGTGGCAATTAAGTCATTGGAAAGCTTGTACTTACAGTGGACTCGTTTCCTCTGAGGGGGCTGAAAGAATGAATATAGCAGTGAATCAATACATCAGAGCATTAGGAATATTTTTACTGCGATGTTATGTCTTGCCATGAAATGCATAACACTGGTTGCTTTGCATATACTATGAAATAATGATAATGATCACTCAATTTGCTGTATTTTTATCACTTAATAAAAATGTCTTCTCTCTTGTGTATAGATATTTGATCTAATGGATGCCAAAGCCCGTGCTGACTGCATCAAAGAAATAGATCTTCTTAAGGTAAAGGATTTGTTTGAAAAATGTGCAGCCATCTTCAAATTACATTACCTTTTGCAAAGATATACTTGAGGTGTTCACTGTTGTCTGTGTAGAGTTTTTATAAGCCTCACTTAAGGAATTTTGTAATCTTTTCATTGCTTTAAAAATTAACATTGAGAAGTAAATTTACAGAAAAATGGGTAACTTTTCAAGTAGAAGTTTCTGCTAAAACCACAGTATTGTTAATAACTGTGTCCTGTGTACAGTAAAATACTGATTTTTAAAAGCTGACTTTGCTGTTTCAGGTAACAGTTTAGCATGCTATTGCATAGATATGTTGAAGAAAAATTCCTCTAAAATTGCCATGTCAGTCATCATGTTGATCCTAAAATGCCATCATGTTCTTCCAAAATGTTTATCTGTAAATGCTTCTCATAAACATAGACTTTTTCTATCATACTGAAATACACTTTAGAGGTTCTTTTGTTTGCCTAAATAAGAATGTTTCATTTGTCAGTCTTAAAAGATAAGATGTGCTCTACACTAAAATGTATGTTGTTGTTGTTCTGCTTTCTTAGCAACTGAATCATCCAAATGTAATTAAATATTATGCCTCATTCATTGAAGATAATGAACTGAACATAGTGCTGGAGTTGGCTGATGCTGGAGATCTCTCTAGAATGATAAAGGTAGGGATTAACTGTTTTAAAAAAATTAAAAGCTTCTATCATTCAACTTCTTTGGCTTTTCATTCTGCATGCTCATCACAGGGTGAAGTGCAGTGAAAGTGTCAGGAGTTGCAGAGAAAAGTAGAGTGTTTAGACTGACTTCTTAAATGTATGCCCAGTGTCGATGCTTATGTAAGTATTTTTAACTGTTGCCCAGAATGTAAGTGCAGATGGGGACATAACTAAACTGACATTATGTTAGCGTTGGGGAGAAGGAAAAAAAAATAAAGCACTGTCACCACTGTTTAAGAACAATAAATGTTGACAGTACTCCTGATTTTTGGCACAGTTCTGTTTTGTGTTCCAATGGTCTGTTCTCCATAATAGTAGTAAAAGCAGAGGAGGGCTGGTGTCATAAGGCAGAAGTTGTTTCCTCTAGATCTTGGGCTTCAGCTGCTAAATACTTTAGCAAACAAAATAAAAATTAAAATGGAAATTACTGCATCATTTTATAGGTCTACTGAAATACTACTTTGAGACTAATAAATACTATGAGAGTATGTTATATTTGGTTGAAATCACATGCAGTGAACTAACTGCTATGTGGTTGTGCATTATGGGTTAATTTCTTTCTTTTGTAGTTTTTAAACGCCTGTTCTTTAGCTAATCAGAAAAAATTATTCAAGACTTGTTATATAAACTTTGTATTCTGAAACTTACATTACCCTTTAACTAGCTTTTTTTGTCTTTGTTTGTCATCTGACAACTACTTCCCCTCTTTTCCTACCCTTTTTCCACTGAGTCTTGATTTTGGTGTGTCCCTTTGGTGTACTTTCTTATGTGCACACCAGTGTTATAGTTGTCAACACAACGTAACTCTGGGAGCAAATAATGCCAGTCAGTTAGCATTTGCTCAGCAACAGTCAGGCACAGAACAGAGTTCTGCTCTTCTGCTCAGGGCCTACTTGAATAGAGAATTTTAATTTTTTCAGTAATGAGTTTCATACTGATTTTTTTTTTTTTTAAATGTTTTGAAGAATACTCTCTTCCAGATTGATAATTGTAAGGCAGGACAGTCAAAATTTGGTTCTAAACAAGTTGACAGCGTTCTGTTAATATTTATATCCAAATCTGATATTTTTCTTCATCTCATGAATTATTAATTCTGTGGGCTTACATTTCATAAAACATAAAGGAAGGTTTGTCTTTTCTTTTGAATGTTCAGTTTTGACACAACAGTTATTAATGTGAGTACTCTGTGACAGATTGCCTTATAGCATGTCTGGGCTTATGACCCATTGAAGCTTTTTATTTTTCCCCTGCCTTTTTTTTTTTTTTTTTTAAATTTCAAATCCAGTGTCTGAGTAACAGCTTCTTCAGTGCAGTTGGCCTCATTACACCTTGTCCAAGTCGGTGGGTATTTCTTACAGGCTCGATCTTGGAGACACTTTGTGACTGTCCTCTTAACACAGGGATCATGTTTAATGTAGCAAACTTAGATTGCTGTTTGATGTTAATGACAGCCTATCGGGCTATTATTAAATATGTATGAGGTGTCACAATGCACTCCCGTCTTTATGCTGGTGGTAGAGAAAATGATTTGGTAGACTACTTGGACAGTATGAGTTTAAAAGTGGGACGCGTCAGTTATAGAGTGTCTTCTTAAAGAAGTATTTTAAAAATTGACTGAAAAATAAATGATATGTAGTGGTATGGAAGCTTCCTAGCAGAATGGCTGCCTGTCACACTACTAAGGTAAATGATTGTGTTGTGTTACTAAACAAACCATGCTTTGGTTTCCCCTGGTCTTGCTGGAATGCTGTTCTAAGTTTGTTGGAAGATGTGGAGGCACCCAGAGAAGAATGTTTGGGTACCAGGCTTGTTGTGTGATTTATAGAAAGGATCAAACATGTTTTTGAAATTGTAAATGACCACAGCTTGAATGACAGTGAAACCAATGTTAATGTGAGGGAAAACGTCTTAACTAGTTTACTTGGATATTTGTTATGACATTATTGGCACATCAGAGAACACTTGCAAAGCTACTGTGCCTCACAGTGCACTTTAATGAATTCTTTAGTTCTTCCCTTAATGAACCACATCCTTGCTGCCCAGCTTTTATACTATCTCTCTTGTTACCTGTGAATAATACCCTCTTTGTCCCCATTGAGTAGACAACTAAGGAAAATCGCTGCATTCATATGGGTTCTGACAGAATTCATAGAATCTCTTGTATGTCCAAAAAAAAAAAAAAAGCAGCTGTTCATTGGCATTTAGAATTCGCATAATAAAATCAGAGGTATCTCAGGAGTTCGCTGTTTCTCTGTGTGTTTACGTATATACATACACAGATACAATCCACTTTATTTTTTTTTTAATGACCTCTGTCACAAGGAGATATATCGGTTCAGCCACTATCCTCAAAAACAGGAGGATCCAAAATTGAGGATTTCTTATCTTACAGCTGTTAATGGCCTGGTAGAATTCTTGGACATGGCATATCAGTAATACCAAGATGCAAACATTATCAATGAGGAGGAAATACTTGGCTTTGACTGAACAGTTGGTTTTGCACTAGAATATGTATCTTGGTACTGTGTGACCACTGCGTAGGGACGATAAAAGAAGGACAAATTCTTGATTTTTCTGTATCTGTGAGTTAGGCTTCTGGATTCTGTTTTATCGAAGATTTTGCAAAGTAACTATTGTGCTAGTTCCCAGATCCCATGGTTAGAGGTAGTTCATGGGCACTCCTGTTGTTACCTTGTAACACCACCTCCTTTTGCAATACAGTAGGTTGCAAAGCAGGTTTGAGGCTTGATCCCTCTTCCTGTTTGACATGGTTCTGCACCACCACAGGCAGTGACAGGGCAAAAATTGTTCTGTGAGCTTTTTTGGTTTGGGATTTTAAAATTACTTTTAAAAGCAACAGTTGATGTATTGGAGTAAGAGAATGCCATAAATTAAGAAGATTCTACTAATTGCATTAATCAAGAAACTACATTGTAATGATTCAGTAAAAAGAACTAGTTAGTAAAGTCTGTGATGAAGATGTTGAAACAAGAGAATTTGAACTATCTTGCAGAATAATTAGCATATTATTTAAGATTAAATATAAAGGTATTAGAAAGGCGTGTGAGAAGGGATGTTATCAAGGCACTGAAGTGTTGTGATTGTTTGGGTTTTTTTCTTATATTAGCAATGACTGTCTAGATCTGTTTCACTTCTGCAGGTATTTTTAGTTATTCTGGTGAATAATCTTAGCACACCAAAAAAATGCAAACTTTAAACTGAATATGTCATACAGATCTTAAAGAAGTTAATCATGTTTTGGGAACAAGCATGAAGGCTTTCATCTAAAAAGTTGAAAATATGTTTGCAGCTTTCTCAAGATAGATGGAAAATAATTTGATTTCTATAAAATGTCACCTAGGCACTTCACCCACACTTCAGAGAACACTCTTTGTGAGTATTTTTTTCAAATTTAAATTAAGGGAAAAAAACAAAAAACCATGCTATGATTAGCTAGGTAAAATAAGACAAATATTTTTAAGTTTCTCATCAGTATGAAGCTCATATCAATATCTCAGGTGTCTGTAGTTGGAAACAGTTAAATCTTTGTCCTTAAACATACTTGTTTTTCATAGGACGGTTAAAACACAGTGATAGTCACTTCTTTCCAAGCAACTGATGCGTACCTGATGCGTATCTAAATTACTTGTTGCAGTAGCTGGAGCTCTGTTCAGACTTGTTAGACATCTCATTGATTATCATTCTGATGTTCATCAGTGGTGAATATTTTGGGCTTCACTGTGTGAAATTGCATAAGGCAATTTCTTCTCTCCACATAGTCTCGAACGCAGACCCTCCCTCCTCTTCCCATGCCAAAATATATTAGCAATGAGTTTTTTTGCAACTTGCTTGCAGTACCCCAGGATTTGACTAACTTGCCTGTGCTGCATTATGGGACAACTTGCCTTTTTTAAGAGCTTAAAGAGTGGAAGCAATTTTAGCTTTAGTCATTGGCAGCTTTGCCAGCCTGAGGTGCTGCTCCTGGCTGTGTGAAGCAACCGTGACTCTATTGCAGAATCCCTGTGCCTGCAGCCTGAGTGTGTAATAGTGTGAGATGACAGCCTTCGGAGGTTCATAGAGACTTTTGTCATGGCAGTGGATTTGGAAGGAATGTAGGGGCATGAGGTAGTTATTACAGTTTGCCTTATATGAAGTGTTCAGTGGTGTCTGCGAGGCTGAGCAGTACTGAACGAAGAGTTACTCACGTAGTTCTGAACTGGGGTGGTGATCATGTGTAGGTCAGACTTCTGCATGAGTTGCTTTTGTGCACTTGGCAGTGCATCTTGCCCCACTGATCTTGCAGCGTGGCAGAGTTGAGGGAGCACGTACTGCTACAGAAGCTAATCACTTTTTCTGTCTGCAAACTAGCTGCCCTGGATTGCTGGATGGCAAGTAGCCTGCGATTAACCATTCTCTCACTGCAGTGAAGCCAGTTGTATTGACTGCTCTTTTTTCAGACTATTTTATGGTGGATTGCTGTCCTGGGAATGTGCTAGAAATAGAGATGTGTTTTCAGACAGTGGTGTTATCTGATAAACGTTGGTAACACATGTTAGTGATAGTTTGACTTTGTTTAATTGCAAGGGTGATAATTTTCAGTGTGATAATAGGAAGATTTTGGGAGTATGAAGTTGGGAAGCACCTGTGTAAAGAAGAGTTGCAGTGTGAGGATTTAGCAGGTCAGGTGTTTACCCCTTTCTAGGGCATGACCTAGTGTTTTGGGAAACCCTCAGCTATTAACTGACTGTATTGTTTGGCTGTCTCTTTATTATACAAAACATTGATTTACAACTTTATCCATTTTGGGAGAGAGTTGGCATCTGTGTTTGGAAGGCTGGTGGGACAATAGTGTCTCCAGGGTGGATTGAATGGCAGCATTGCAGAAGCAGTGTTCTGCTGTGCACACACACGTGTAGCAGGACAGTAACTGCTGTAAGAGTTGCCGAAGA